TTCTTAAAAAAGTATGATATTGAATAGTGTGATTTTTATCATGTGATATTAATATCGACATTTTTAATTTTTTGACCCCTAAAAAGCCTTTTTTTATTATTATGGAAATTTTTAAATATAAATAATAGTAATGAGAATAAGGTAATAAATCCCCATGTCCTAAAACCCAGCTCAATTATCTATATTTTGCCATTTTTGTCTCCTTTATTGGCTTATCCACTTTTCTCTTTTTCTTCTTATCTTCTTTGTAGTATTTTAAACCAAATGCCTAAACACTGTGCCATTTCACTAGTAAATACTCTTGTGTATCTCTTACAGATAAGGTTGGGTTTTGTTTGTTTGTTTGTTTGTTTGTTTGTTTATTTAAGTAAGCTCTACACCCAATATGGGGCTCAAACTCACGACCCCGAAATCAATAGTCACATGCTCTACCGACTGAGCCAGCCAGGTACCCCAAAGTTTTTAAATATAATAAGTATTTGGTAGAATTCACCAGGGAAGCAATTTGGGCCTGGAATATCATTGGAGGGAAGGTTTTTAACTACAAATGCAATTTCTTTAAGAGATATAGGAGTTTTCAGGTTATGTACTTCTTCTTGAGTGAGCTTTGGTAGTCTGTGTCTTTCAAATAAATATTTCATTTCATCTGGTTTGTTGAATTTATAGGCATAAACATGTATAACATTCCCTTGTTATCTGTAGATAACATCTTTTTTACATATGTAGATGTAGAATCCATAGTTTTTTACATCTGTAGAATCCGTAGTTCTGTCATGATATTGGCAAGTTGTGTCTTCTTTGTCTCTCTCGCTCTCCTTTTCTTAATCAGTCTAAATAGAGATTTATCAATTTTATCTATTTTATCATAGATAAACCTTTTGGTTTCAATAATTTTTTCTTTTACTCTTGTTTTCCATTTCATTGACTTCCCTTCGATCTTTATTACTTCCTTGCCTCTGCTTACTTTGAGTTTAATTTGCTCTTTTTCTTTAAGTTTCGTAAGGTAGAAGTTCATGAGGTAGAAAGTCACTAATTTGAGGTCTCTCCTTTTTTCTTATACAGGTGCTTAGTGCTATTAATTTTACCTAAAGTGAATTTTAGCAGCATCACATTAAATCATCAGTGTTGTGTTTTAATTCTCATTCAGAATCTACAGATCTCTGGGATTCCCTACATAGTTCTCTATGGAGTTCTGTCCACTCCAGTATTCTGTCCCCTGAACTCTGGCTGCCTTGGTCTCCCTGGACTTTGCTTTGTCTCAACTCAGAGTGTCTGCTTAGTTTTGCCTGGGTTACCCCTTCCCGTGCTGCAAACTGGAAATTCTTTCAGTGCATTAGATGGAGGTGGTCATAGGACTGCTCTTGCTTCTCATTATCTCAAGGATCACTGTCCTTAGTTGTCTGACATCCAGTGTCTTAAAGACTACTGTTTCATATATTTTGTCTAGTTTTTGGGGATGTTTCAAGGAAAAGAGTAAATCTGGTCCCTATGACTCCATCTTAGCTGGAAAAAGAAAGGTTTTTTTATATATATATCATTACGAATTCAAGATTTTTATATATTTGGTTTGTTTTAATCCACTGCAGTAATTTTCCTTCTCGATGCTCAAAGTATGCCAGCCTAGGCCAGTGGGAACAACTTCATGTTCGTTTTGGGTCCTTTTGACATGTTTCTACAAGTTCCTTTAGTGGCAAATGATATTTAGGCACTACAGTCTAGATATCAGGGGTTGATTACATATTTGCATTTGCTGAATCTGTTTTTAAAAAATAGGAGGGAGACCAAGATAAAAATATTTTATATTTATAAATAGGTACACTGCAGTGAAAAGAACAAACACACCTGTATTGGAAAAGACTCAATTGTCACATACAAGAAGTCACTAACGTTCTCAACTGCTAAATGAAGATCTTAGTATTGCTTCCTAAATATGGATCTAAAAGTTTCCAAACACAGTCTAGTGAACCTGACTTTATCTTCTCAACTTGGGCTTATCCAGTCTTAGCTATTTCTGGACTCTAATTTACAGTTATAGGAGCCTAGAAGGAAGACCTCCTACTCCAATATTGTTTGATATTAGCAGTTCTCTTAAGACTAAAGGTGTGTCGTCAGTAAATATTGCACAGTGAATAAGAGTCTAGCCGATACTGAGCACATCAAAGTAAAATTAGGCCCAAGGAACCATAGTTATAGGATATCAATATCCTTCCACCTATTCCCAATCTTCTGTCTCCTTGCCCTTGGTATAACAATCTGAGCTGTCACAAATCCCCAATTTTCCTTTCTAAATTACTAAAGACTTGACATTTCTTAGTTTCAGGGAGAGCCCCCCAATAGTCCCTTCCAGGTCAATGATTCTTAAATGCGTAGATTCTTCTGGTTACAAGAAACTCTAGAGACAGATCATCTAATTCAGGCACATCTCTTCATAGACAGGAAACTAAGGCACGGAGATGCCATTTGCCTTTTAGCAAACCGAGAGCCCAAGACTTAGAAAAGTAGTATGTTGGAGAGAATTTCTAAACCATATAAAATTAAACATATTTAGACCAATAGCTCTCAACACTCTGTATCTCACATCTCTCTAATCATTTACTTAAAAATAACACACCATGATGATAATAAGGATAACACAACTTCCTAAGAGCATTTATATATTAAAAAACATTTTGTGAATGTAAATTACATTTTGTGTAATGTCGTAGTATGAAAACTGCCAGAATGCAAATATTTTCATAAAAAAGCTTTTATTTTATTAAAATCTGAGTTCTAGTCCTAGTTTTCAATAGATAAAACAATTAAAACAGCTTTGCAGAAGCTATGCATGCTTAAAATGCTACCTTGCCTTCACTTGAAACCAGGAAGCTAAGCAATATTATACCACAAATCAGTCTTATCAAAGCAAAAGACTTTGTTGAGCAACAAAGATGATCCTCAAAAGTTTGTGGACCAACTTTGATATTAATCCAGCAGATTTGGACTACTGACAGTCCAAACCACCCATTCTGGCCAATCATCTTTAGAAGAACATTCTCAGCAATTTGAGCCTTCCAACACAGACATTTGCTATTTGCTATAGCTGCTATTTTGTCACAGAGTCATTCTGATCTGTTAAGAACCAGTGTACCATAATTTTTGGCCATCTCAAAATGCTCAGGGAAGCACTTACTGATCTAATAAGTCTTGTTTTGTCTTTAATGAGTACAATTTCGAGTGATCCTAAAAATCCCACATATGGTCATTATAACACTTGTTGTGCACAATCTGTTCATCCAAAGGCATTTCTACTCTACACTACAAACAACATTAGATGTGATTAGAAAACCATTCATCCACCAAGATGTTCAGGCCAAGGTTATAGGAAATGAATAAAAATTATGGTTATGTATGGTTTTGGTTACACTAAGACATTCTGATAGAACAATTATTGAGAATAACACGCTTTTCTTCTCCACTAGCTTTAGGCTCTGACCCTCAAAATACAACTAAAGCTGATCAGTTATCAGACTTGGAGACGCAGGACAATCACAGGATCTGTTTCAGAAATACTGGACCAAAACAGTGATTTGGTATTTTTTTCCCAAAGTTTGCTCTGACTTTTCAGCAACTTAGATATCACAAAATCCATTTTAATATTAATAGCTAACATTTGCTTAGCATTTACTGCAATCTCCACACTGAGGCAAGTGCCTTCAATTAATACCCTGAAAAATAATTTCTCCACTTAGCTAATAAGCGCCAGAGCCAGGATTCAAACTCAAGCTAACAACAGAGCCCAGGCTCCTATCCACTGTGTCTTATTGCCAGAGTCCTTTTTTCTTTTCCCCCCAGAGTCCTAAGTAACTCACAATCATTTGCTTTTTTCCTAGGAAGGAAAGAAAAAGATTATTTCCCACTAAACTGTAAGCTTAGAGACCTGAAGAGACTAAGCTCACAGAGACCTGGGATCTCACCTGTTTTACTTCAACATTGTGCTACTAACACAGCAGTTTCCTAACAGTGGTGAAATGAAGAAAGGGTGAAGGAAAAGGTTACTCAGCTATTAAGTGCGAGGGGCAAGAGTCATACCCATTTCTCCTAAGTACTGTACGGTACAGTTAAAATCTAGTCAGTGACAAATTTCAGATAATACACAGGTAAATTTTATAGTAGCCAGTTTTCCATTACACACATGTAAGAATTTGTTCCTAATTATTTTAAAGCTCTGGAGTGAAGACACATAAGTGAGAGGTTACAAAGGAACTGGCATTGTCATCATTGCTAAAATACAAGATTTCATATATTCGGTACATAAGTGAACTCTCTGAACTAGAAGGTTAATTTCTGACACACATTTACCTCTCATTTCACCTTACATATTCAGCTTAATCATATGCACTGACCATATTCACTTTTTAAAAGCCAAATGCTCAAAGGACCTAATTATATGTAAGCAGTTAAAACCTCAATCAAAATATATTCTAAATGCAATAAATTAACATTTAAATAATTTTTGTCATACAGATAATTTTCTTTAATGCATATATTTCATAGTCATTAGCAATGTAAAAGCAAAAAAGTAAGCTTCCTGTTTAAATGAATGTCCCATTTAAGAAAAGCTAAGTTTGGTATTGTTGCTTTAAACTGATTTTAACTCTCAAACCCTAGTACACTTCTGTAACGGTCTGACTATTCCTCACTCAAGGACATTTAACAATGCCAGGGCACTGACATGAATAATCGAAACGCTAAGCAGAGGGCACCTGTGTGGCTCAGTCAGTTAAGCATCTGCCTTCAGCTCAGGTCATGATCTCAGGGCTCTAGGATGGAGCCCCGCATCGTTGGCCTCCCTGCTTAGCAGGGAGTCTGCTTCTCCCTCTCCCTTACCCTCTGCCCCACTCGTGCTCGTGCTCCTCTTTCCCAAATAAATAAAAATCTCTTTAAAAAAAAAGAAGGGAAGAAAGGAGAGAGAGAGGAAGGAAGGAAGAGAAACGCTAAGGAGATGGAGCCACGGCACCTACCTTGGTGAGGTGAATGACTCCTTTAGAAGTAACTGAACAACCCATGAAGCCAACGTACTGAAGTTCAGGACAGTGCTCAGCAAATGCTTTCACCGACTGGTCTGTCACCTAGGGAAAGGACGTGAAGAACGTTATTCAAGGTGCTATTCCAGTCAGTTTAAGGATTTGGTCCTGCAAATTCCCTCTGCCCTATCTTGCATCATTAATATTTCCCTTTCCATTGGAGCATTTGAATCTGTCTACAAACATGCAGCAATATCTCCTCTGAGTTTTAAGTTTATTTATTTAATCTCTACACCCAACGTGGGGCTCAAACTCACAACCCCAAGATCACAAGTCTCATGCTCTTGTTACTGAGCCAGCCAGGGACCCATCTCCTGCAGTTAAAAAATAGTCTCCCTTCATCTCACATCCCCTTTTCTCTATCACCCCATTTTTTTTTACTTCTTCATAAAAAACATTTTTTTTATTATTATTCTGTTATGTTAATCACCATACATTACATCATTAGTTTTTGATGTAGGGATCCATGATTCATTGTTTGCGTATAACACCCAGTGCTCCATTCAGTATTTCAAAGATGTCAACGTCTCTACCATAACTTCTTCCTATCCAATCTCTCTCAACATATAAATTTTCTACTGACATATAATTCTCATACTATAAAATTCACCCTTTCAAAGGGTACAGTTCGGTTTTTAGCATATCCACAAGGTTGTGCGAACATCACCAATATCTAATTCCAGAACATGCTCATCACTCCCAAAGAAACCCCATGTCCATTAGCAGTCACTCGCCTACTCCACCCCTTGCCTTCAACCCCTGGCAACTTTCTGCCTCTAAGGATTTGCCAAGTCTGAACATTTTTTATAATGCAAATTATCTAATTGGTTCCTAAAATGCAACAAAGTTCTCTTTATAAGGTTTCTCCTTTCAAGTGTTTCTTCCAAGGAAATCCAATTTTGCCCCTCATGGCTTCAGATTCTTTTAATTTGGGTAGTGTGGTGATTAATTCTATGTGTCAACTTGACTATACCATGGGGTGCCCAAATATTTGATTAAACAGTATTCTTGGGTGTGACTGTGAGGATATTTCTGATGAGATTACCATTTGAAATGGTAAACTGAGTAAAGCATTCTGTTCTCCCCAATGTGAGTGGGCCTCATCCAATCCATTTGAGGTCTGAATGGAACAAAAAAGTTGAGTAAAGGAGAATTTGCTCACTCCCTCTCTCTCTCTCTTGCTCTTTCTCTCTCTACCTGGCTATCTTCAAGCTGAGACAGCAGTCTCCTACCTTCAGACTCAGACTTGGACTGGAACTTACACTGTTGGCTCTACTGGTTCTTAGGCCTTTAGACTCCGATCAGAACTCTATCATCAGCTTTCCTGTGTCTCCAGATTTGCAGCCTCAGATTTTGGAACTTCTTGGCTTCCATAAACGTGTGAGCCAATTCCTTACAATAATCTCTTTATAGAAACACACACACCCTCATACAGATTCTGTTTCTCGAGAGAACCCTGACTAATGTAATACATATTAGAATCCCCTGAGGAGTTTATTAAAACTTCAGAACCAAAAAGGGTGAGGCCAAAGAATCTGTATTTTTAAAAAGCTCTTGAGTGACTCGTAGGCGTGTGAAAAGTGTTGCAAAGAAGTTACCTTGACAGCTTTTGACATTTCTACCTGACCCTGCTTTAAACAAAAGGCAGAGTGAAATTGCTTTTTTGTCTCCCCCCAACCTCTGGAAAATTTCAATGTATAAAATTATCCTCTTGTAATTGTGCTAAAATTTTCTTCACTGTTCCACAAAGCGGTAATTTGTAAAAGAAGGTCCAAATATTCTCTACCACAGGCTTAATTTCAGATTCACTTTCCTCGCAGGAAAGATGAAATCAACAAGTTAAACACCTTTGTTAGTTTTTCAAACAGCAGAGACAAATCTGCTTTGCATTAGCTTTATTATGGGTGACTCTTTGTATCTTCCTTATCTATTCTGAATAGATATTGGAAAATAAAGGTATGTGGGTAGCATTAATTCTAAAACAATCACAAGAACATTTTCCTAAAATAATGAAACCAACAGCATCCATGGTACATCTGATAAAAGATTAATTCTGCTCAAAAGTAAAGTATGCTTTAGCATATTAAGACTAAGGGTGCCATTGATAAATTAAAAATGGGCTTTCCTGACACTCAGCTTTCTAAAAACATTATGTTAACAAAGAATATTGCAGGCACTAAAATCACCTGAAACCCCAATGGAAACCAATTTCTATTTATTTAAAAAGGGGGTGGGGGCTAACAGAGGTTAAATACATGTGGTCAGTTTGTTAAATACCCTGCCCAGTCTCACTCTAACATCTAGCCTTTCCTGCATCTGTCGTCAAGGAAGGAAGAGGAACTCAGATAAGGATTTAGGACACAAGAAAGCTCAGGTACAAGGTGTTGAATCTTTCACAGAGAAGAAAAAAGGGTATTAAAAATTTGGTTTGCTGGTCTCTCTTGTTCAGCTCAAGCAATCAAAATAAGAGAGCTCAGAGGAGCCTCCAGCATCAACATAAGTCAAGCAAGACCGAGTAAGTCCTTGGGGTACAGAAACACTAGTAGGCTTGGGTGTGTTTTAGAAGACTAATAAAAGGGCCTTGAAGATTTGGGTGGGGTCTGGTTCCATTCCCAAGGATAGAAAATCAGTTAGAAATTGGAGGCTAAACGTCTGGCAAAAACAAGAGGCAGGTACTGGTGAGTGTCAGCTTCTCTGAGACCGTGCAGCTTGACTGCCTCTTTTCAAATCCCAGGTGGGCCACTTATTAGCTGTGTGATTTTAAGCAAGTCATTTCATCTCTATACTTTGTTCCTTCTATACAACAGAGAAGATACTAGTACCTAGCTCACAGGGTAAAATATGAGGGTAGATAATGCATGTAAAATGTTTTGAACAGTGCAAGGTACATTGTAATTGCTCAATGCATTTTAGCTATTATCATCATAATCATTGCATGTTCTCCTTTCTTCTGTATTCTAATTCTTAGCCAGGACTAAGGGGTTGCCATGTGTAAGAAAATAATTCAAAAAAAAGTGTAGTCAAAGTGTGCTAGCTTACTCACCTACTTATTCCAAGAGATTCTGATCATAATTTGGGGGCTCTAGGTTATGGGCTAAACTGTGGGATGAGAGTGAGGGAGACATAGGTAGAAGTTTATTATTGATCCACTATGGTAAAAAGAATCCCATTTTGTTACGGTTCTCAGCCTGACTGCACATCAGAATCACCTGAAGAGCTTCCCAATTTAATTTCTGGCAGAAAGCTGCATCAATTTTATTCGAAAAGCTCCCCAAGACAGTCTAATGTGCATGCAGCCTGGGTTATGAACAAGTTCCAAGGCCTTTCATTCAAAGTGCAGTCCTCAAACCAACAGCATTGGCATCACTTGGAACTTGTTAAAAATGCAAAATCTCAGACCCCACCACAGACCTACTGAATCCTAATCTGCATTTTAATAAGATCCCCAGACGATTTTTTTTTCCAATCTATTTATTTATAAGTAAGCTCTATACCCAATATGGGGCGCAAACGCTAAGATCAAGAGTCTCATGCTTTATGGACTGAGCCAGGCAGGCACCCCCTCAGGTGATTCTTATGCACCAGAAGCTTGAGAAATACTGCTGAAGGGACAAGGGATTATGTCATCTTCTTGGGGACAGACGAAGTAAAAACTGGGTAGCTATCTCATAACCCAAGTGCTATGGACAATTTTTTAAACAGCTTGACTGAGTTATAATTTATATACTATAAAATTAACTCATTTGAAGGCGTAATTCATTGAGTTTTATTAACTTATACAGCTGTGCAACCATCACCACAATCCAGTTTTAGAGTGCTTCCATTGCACCACCCCCAAAATTCTCTTTATCCTTTTGCCCATATGCAGCCAAACACAGCTCCCACCCCAGGGAACCAGTGACCTGCTTTCCATCACTGTACTTTTGCTTTTTCTAGAAATTCCATATAAAAATAATTATACCATAAGCAGTCTTTTGTTTCTAGCTTCTTTCACTAGCATAATGTTCTGGAGGTTCATCCTTGCTGCTACATGTATCAGTTGTTGGCTCATTTTGTTGCTGAGCAGAATTCCATTATATAGTGACAATACCTTTTATCTGTTCACCAGACGATAAATATTTGGATTGTCTCCAGTTTGGGCTTTGATAAAGAATGCTGCTGTGATCATCCACATACAATACTTTGTATGGACATACATTTTCATTTCTCTTGGATAAATATCTAGAAGAATTTCTGAGTCATGTAAGTTTCATTTTTTACACATTTTAAAAACTGGGTTGTCTTATTAAGTTGTAAGAGCTCTTTATATACTCTGGATACAAAGTCCTTTATCAGATATTTGTTTCATAAATATTTTTTTCCATTCTGTGCCTTGTCTTTTCATTTTCTTAATGGTGATCTTAGCTCTAACATTTAGGTCTACGGTGCTCTAGGAGTTAATTTGTGTGAATAGTGCAAAGTGTTCATTTTTCTGCATACAAACATCCAATTGTCCTATCACCATTTGTTTAAAAAACCATATACTATGGAAGAATGCTAAAAAGCTCCAACTTGGGGGATGCCTGGGTGGCTCAGTCTGTTCAGTCTCACGGTCGTGAATTCGAGCCCCATGTTGCGCTCCACACTGGGCATGGAGCCTGCTTAGGGGGAAAAAAAACCCAAAACAAACAAAACTAGACTCCAACCTGGAATGGTTGGCCTTGAAGGATCATATATACTCAAAGACTGGGAAAACCAGGCAGCAGACAGAAACTGGTAGGCAAACAGAAATGTAGCTCAGGTTTTGGAAAGAAACATCATAAAAGAAGGGGAGAATGAGATCAGCTTGCAAAGCAAATTTTGATCTTTTAGTCAAAGCTGTGATGGAGAGAAAGAGGAAGATGAACTCAGATTCAATAGTGTTATCTCCTCACATGGCAGAGGTAGAGAAGGACCATATCCCTAAATTGGTATTCTAAAAGCTACACTTTTACTCCTGCATAAAGAGGATGCAGGTGCATTTAGTGTTACGATGAGAAAAGCATTGGTGGTAAGGAATGTCGGTT